GCAGGTGCTCTGACCAGGGATCGAATTCAAAACCTTGATGTATCGCTCAGCGCTAACCAGCTAAGCCACCTGGCCAAGGCTCATATGCACTTTAAAAAAAAATCCTCACCAGAGGGTATTTTTCCATTGATTTTTTTAGAAAGTGGAAGAGAAAGGAAAGACAGAAATATCGACGTGAGAGAAACACATTGATTGGTTGCCTCCTGCATGCGCCCTGACCAGGGCCTGGGCCAGGGAGGAGTGTGCAACTGAAGTACATGCCCCTGACAGGAATCGAACCCGGGACCCCTGAGTCCACAGGCCGACGCTCTACCCACTGAGCCAAACCGGTTCTGGCTCAATTCCTTCTTGATCTTATTACTTTATTGCTCACTATTTCTTTTTTAAAAATTTATTTTTTCCATCACTGCTTCCTGTTTTTTAGTGCTCTTTAGATAATACATGTAAAAATTAAATATCCATTCCCCAAGTCATTTATTCCTGAATTTCACCTCTTTCCTTAAAATTTTTCAAGATTCTAGCCAGCCTGATAACTCTTGTGATGTACAAACACAAATACTACACAATCTGTTTCATTATTTAGTCACCGATTTGGTTCTATGGCATTGACCTGTATGTTTTTTCCATTAATATTAGTAGTACCCATTGGAAATTAGAAATCACAAATTGGGTCTATAAGACACTCTCTGTATTATAAACAATATTTGTAAGAAGACCACTTAAGCAATTCCTGTACAAACTTAAGAATGATCTATTCTCTAGCTAAAACTGAATTCAGAGCCTTAACATCTGTTGTTCCCTCTGCCTAGAAGGCTCTTCCCTCATAGTCTCGTTTTCTCACAACAGTGTAAATAATCCCTCCTTCCATCCAAGTACTAACCAGGCCTGGCCTTGCTTAGCTTCCAAGATCAGGGTGGTGTGGCCGCAGATGGTAAATAATCCCTCCTCAGAAAGATCTTTCTTAACCAAATGCTGGGTACTCGATAGGTCACAACCTTGTTTTCTTTGTTTTACTTCAAAGTACTATCACTAACCAAAATACTGTTTATATCTTTATCTCTCTTTCCACTAGAAAGTAGTCTCCATGTTTATTTTGCTCTCTAATATATCCCCAGAGCCCAATGGCTCATAATAGGAACAATGCATATTTATTGAATGAAAAAAACTACCTGAAAATAAAAAATGGGATATCATGAGGAATTCCTTGAATCAAGTGTAAGAAAGGATATTTTTCATCTTTGTTTATTTGGTACATAGTTAGCATTCAAATGGACTGTTTTGACAAGATGGATTTAGCTGTGCAATGAAAACTGTGAAGAATCCCTGAATCCAAATCCATTTGAAATCCAACCTCACTGATATTTTAACACTAAACACTAATCACATACCGGCCTTTTAACGCATTAAAAAGTCTGATTCCATCTGCAGGGCCACAGATTTGGATCACATCATCTCTAGTTAGTTTCAATAAATCTGCCCCTGAAATAAATATAAGAAAACGGGTGATAGAGGCAAAGATTTTCTTTGTTAATAACGATTAAAATGGGCTCAGTTAATGAGGACACCTCATTACTACTATGTTATAATCCATAATCTTTTGCATGGTGTGTAAGGCCCTCCATGATCTGGCCCCTGCTCATCTCCCACCTCAATTCCCACCCAATTACTTCTCCACTTAACCCTATGTTTTCATCACAATGATGCTGTCTAATGAGAAGTTGCTCCTCTTGCCTGAATTAACCTTCCACTGTCTGACCAACAGACTCCTCCTCATTCTTCATGCATCACACATGTTCCCCAACCCCTCTAAATGCCTAACTTCGTATCTACTACATCACAACTACTTGTTTACCCCCTTTTTTGGAGGGGGGGGGTATTTTAATTTTTTGATACTAGATAATGAATGATCAGGAAATATGTATGCCTTATCCATCTGTGTATTCCTACCATACCTGGTAACCGAAGGTATTAAATAAAAGTGGAATGTGCAAATAAAATACAATATAGTGATATCAAGGGGACATTTCAGACTACCTCCAAATGTTCCTTGATAAAATACTATATGAAGTGTTGTAAAGAATAAATATTTTAAAATTAAAGTGAGTTTAAACAAGAGATCTTTCTTTTTAAGTATTTAACAGCGCGCGCGCACACACACACACACACACACACACACACACACCCTCACACGGATACCAGAAAGCCCTAGAATATAAAAGAATATCCCATGCTGGAGAAAACAAAGGACAAGCAAATTTAACCTGAGAAGTTTGTAAAAAGCCTTGTGAATGTAGAAAACCGGTTTCGATGCAACCACTGCTGAGCTTCCTGAGGTGTGGTTGTTGGCAAGAGGTTCTGAAAGAGAGAAAGCAATTTTCTTTTGGTAACTAAATAGGTTGAATTTCAAAAAGGTAAATGTTATTAGGTAACACATAGCCAAACACACCCACACTCAGCTAGGTCTAGTTTGCTTGGAAGTTGTTTGTACATCAGTCTTCTTTCTCTAACCATACAAGATACCCTTGGAATTCCATCCTTATCTCCCCACTAGATTGTAAATTCCTTAAATACAAGGGTCCTACATTACCTAAATAGGTTGAATTTCAAAAAGGTAAATGTTATTAGGTAACACATAGCCAAACACACCCACACTCAGCTAGGTCTAGTTTGCTTGGAAGTTGTTTGTACATCAGTCTTCTTTCTCTAACCATACAAGATACCCTTGGAATTCCATCCTTATCTCCCCACTAGATTGTAAATTCCTTAAATATAAGGGTCCTACATTGTTTTATATCTGCAGTCCCTAGCACAGTATCTATTCATAGTCAAAATTCAATAAATGTTTGTTTAATGAATGAATGAATACTCCTTACAAGCTGGGCACTTCTACTGAACTGCAGAGTCATCAAAGTATTATTAGACATTGCAAATAACTGACATTTAACTTTAGACTTACATCTGTGACTGGCGGGGGCGGCTCTGGCTGGTGGTTTGGTGAACCATTTCTAAAGAAACATTTATAATGAAAGGATGAGTGCATGACACATACTAAGGTTCATCATCATTCTTCACTCTCATAGTAAGTCCTAAACTAGAGATTTAAAGAAATTTGTGCTTTTCTCATAAAACACTCTTATTCTTGGACCCAATATTTCTATTATCTACTAATTCATTGTAAAGATTTTTGGGGGAGGATTGAAGGGGGAGAAGCTATGGCATTTGCAACATTTTATTATTATTGGAGAAATTGGAAAAAAAAATCAAGATTCCAATATGTTGGGACTTATTAGATAAATTAGGGCAGTGATGGCAAACCTTTTGAGCTCGGCATGTCAGCATTTTGAAAAACCCTAACTTAACTCTGGTGCCATGTCACATATAGAAATTCTTTTATATTTGCAACCATAGTAAAACAAAGACATATATATATATACATATATTTTTTTCTTTTGTAAAATATATTTTATTGATTTTTACAGAGAGGAAGGGAGAGGGACAGAGAGTTAGAAACACTGATGAGAGATAAACATCAATCAGCTGCCTCCTGCACACCCTCCACTGGGGATGTGCCCACAACCAAGTACATGCCCTTTACCAGACTCGAACTCGGGACCCTTCAGTCCACAGGCTGATGCTCTATCTACTGAGGCAAACCAGTCAGGGCAAGACTTAAATTTTTGATATTTATTTTATATATTTAAATGCCATTTAACAAAGAAAAATCAACTAAAAAAATGAGTTCGCGTGTCACCTCTGACACGCGTGTCATAGGTTCGCCATCACTGAATTAGGGCATAAACAGTATTTAATATAAATTTATTAGAATGTAAACTAAGTGTCAGAATATAAAAGTAATCAATATATTACTGCATCAAATATATAAATGTACAAACATACAGGGAAAATATTAGAATAAAATTTATGAGATGCAATGGGATCCCACACTTTTTATAGTAAAAACAATAATTATTTTTAAAACAGGTTCAAAAATTAGTGTTATCTAAGGGCTAATCCAAGGGCTATTTCTACACCGTAGGTTTTTCCCTGTACTTCCTTTTGCTTTATAGACTGTCCCTCTTCCCTAATGTTTACTTTTTTTTATGAGTGGAAATTTGAGCCTAATAATGAAGTACATGACAAAAAGGGAAAAAAAACTCTTAAATCCTATACAATAATTAAAATTGCTTATAAGTAGGCTGAATAATCCATGTGAATAAGAGATTTTTCTTTCCTAAGGTATTTTTCTTCCCCCCCCCCTTAACTGCAAAATTCAAATTCAGTCTTCAAATTTAGTGAGTAACTTATCTCAAGGCCCTAGTTAACTCTTCTTTCTACAATTTCTATCTATTTTTATTCTTAATTGATGCATGTTGAATATTTAAGCCACCTTAATTAAATATTTCAGAAAGAGGTTGAACACAGAGCCTAAATAAATTAAAAACAAACATTACAACCAAGCTATATGTTCACACATTTCATAGCCTATTTGAAATTTCAATAAGGCCCATGTGGAATATGTGCTAATAGGATGATAAGTCACTCTTTAGCTATCATGTTCAACTTTCTTCCCTGATTAGCAAAGATTCATGATAATTAGGTGCTAAGATCATTCTTCATAAGTAACAAAACAGATATTAATGTTTGTACAACTGTGTTTCAATTCCGATGACCAGTCTCTGGTGAGAGTACGATCAGGAAGTGAAATAATCAAAAAAAAGCAGTAATAGGGAGAAGTGAAAAGCCCAGAAAATCAGTCCCTGACTCACTAAGAACTTACTGTAAAAGTGATTTTCTAATGGGAGGAAAAAAGAAGAGAAAGGGGTACGTAAAACTCTTTCAGTCTCTTACAAGCAACACCCTGGCAGATGATCATAACTGTCTGACGCAATTTGAGCTTGCCATAGCAACGAAGTCTAACCTATTCCCGTGCAATCTCCTCTATGAGACAAGGCCTTACATAGACACAGACAGTGTTAAAAACAAAATACCTTCCGTGTCTCTGAAGGTAATCCAAACCTCAGTTACAATGTAAGTCCATCAAAGACTGACCAAATAGAAGTACTGATTGATTTAGAAAGATCTTGTCTATAGAAAGATAATAAAAAATACACATTTAGGACAAAACACAAGCCAATTTCATTTCCCAGACTTACCCTTCCCCAAGGGAAAAACTGCTATGCGAACTGTTGAAGCCAGGGGATGGGGAATTATTGACATATGTGATTTCGGGCCATGGAGAACACTAAAACAAAGGAAAACTTAGATACTAAAAAGTATAACTGACCCTAGTGTTCGACCAAAACATGTTTACTTAAATGGCACATCTTGATTAGTAAAAGTAAATTTTAGTTCTTCAGAGCCCCCCATAACTAAGAGGTCAAATAAATTTTGAACAGGTGGAAAATAATTTTTAAAAACTGAGATATAACTGATACATAACATTATATTAGTTTTAGGTAAATCACAAGATAATGATTTGATATATGTGATTGGATTTTTTCTTAAGAATAAAACGTATTGATTAAAATTGTCACCAAAAGAAATCTTTTTACCTCTGTAAGTATAGTGGTCTCATAGGAAGGTTGATATTTCTCCTTTTCATGAGGTGTTCGTTTCTCCATTTTCTCTCTATCTGTTTTTTGCTTTCTGTCTGCACCTTTGGGCTGAAATGAGAAATACTTGGTTTTAAACTCACCCTTCACCCAACAATATTATTTCTAAAAACTTAAACAGTCACAAGTGAAACAAATATATATTCTAATGATATAGTAAAGATAAAATGCATCACTGCATATAAGTCTGAAAATAGGAAATTTAAATGTTTGAGGAAGTTAAAAAAGAATAGGTGATCTATAACTATGGACATGGAAAGATCTCTAAAGCACACAGGCTAACTGAAAAAGCAAGCCTCAAAACAGTTCATACCGTATAATCCCACTTATGTTTGAAAGAAAAGAAAACATGTGTATACCTATGAACATGTGTACTAAAAGCACAGAAGGGGACTAGAAGGATACATACACACTAAATTGTAACAGTGGTTACCTCTGGGGAGAGGCTGGAGAGTTGGGGTAAGAGTGATAAAGGGGAACATCAGTGTTGTGCTCGGAACACTTTTGTATTAATGAATCTTCTTAAATGAGAACATATTATCCACGTGATAAAGACCAAAATAAGGAAAGAAGATCAAGTATGAATGTAACCAAAACTGTCAACTTTTCATAATTTTTGTGAGTTTTTAAAAGAGTTTATCACTTTAACAGGCTTTAAGAGCATTCAATGAAAATCCATGAGTTTTCATAGTTTAGTTTTTTAAAAAAAACAAACAAGCTGGCTTTCTGACTTGGGACTAAATGTTACAACTGGAAGACGAGGCAAGTAGTTCCAAGGCCACCACAACACCCAGGAATACCTTGAAGACTTTGATCTGGCAGCTGGCTGAGTGCAAGTGCTCAGTATACTCCCCGTTCTCGTTCTCCTTGAAGGTATCGATTTGTACTCGGAACGGCACTCCCTTTTCTCCGCCATGTTTCCTCATGGTGAACTCTGTGCTGATACAGTGCACCTGAAGAAAAGACAGTGTCCACGTTCCAGTACTGCTAAGCCAGACAAACCAGTCAACATCTTTGAGAAACTACTAATAGCAAGCCTTTTCAAAAGCACTGTGAACAATTACAAAAAAAACTTTTACTCTTTTTATCTTGAAGAATTTATACTCTAATGATGGAAATGAGGAAAACTTAAATGATTTACAAATGCAAACAAAATAGATCTAATGTTGCCCTACCCAGTTTGGCTCAGTGGATAGATAACGTGTCAGCCTGCGGACCAAAGGGTCCTGGGTTCAATTCCGGTCAAGGGCACCTACCTTGGTTACAGGCTCCTCCCTGGCCGGGACCTGGTCAGGGCTTGTGCAGGAGGCAACCAATCGAAGTGTTTCTCTCACATCGATGTTTCTCTCTGTCTTCCCTCTCTTTCCCACTCTCCCTAAAAATGAATGGAAAAATATCCTTGGGCGAGGATTAATAACAACAACAAAAATATACCTAATGCTAGCAAAAGCTACTGTGAGGAATTAAATTAACTGCGTCAGAGAATATAGAGTTAACATAAAAGAAATTATTTCTGTTAGTAAAAGTTTCCTGGACTTTTAGATAGATTTTAGCAAGAGGAGGCACCATCTATGCTGGGAAAATAGTATATATAAAAGCTGGCAATAGGAGGAAAAAGGTTTGCCTGGCTTCTGCATAAAGTCTAAGACCTTGGTGAATCTGAACAGTGGAACTCTGACTGACCAAATACTACCTTGGGTAAGTTATTAACTTCTCTAAGTATCAAGGACTAGTCCTACTCCACAGGATTATTGTTGAAAATCTTAAATAAAATTATGTATACAAAGTGTTAACATGGGGACCACTTAATCTATTAGCTATCATGATGACAAATAAGAATTTTCGAGGAATCTACCCAAAGGTGATAATCACATATGCAAATCAAATTTTAAGTATAAAGATATTCAAAATAACCTTCTGGATAATAGTGAAAAATTAGGACAATCTCAATGCTAAATAATCATTAGATAAGTTATGGTATATCCAGAATAAAATACAGGGTGGGGCAAAAGTAGGTTTACAGTTGTGAGTATGCAAAACAGAGTGTATTCTTATATTATTTATTAATTGTATTATTTTCCATAGGAACTGATGCAAACCTACTTTTGACCTACCTTGTATTATATAGCCGTTAGTAAGCATTTTGGGGAGAAACAAATACATAAATTGGGGAAATCAGAAGAGCAATGAAGAAACTCCTCATTGCTTTCAGGAACATGCTGAGGAGTCTGCACTTGAGAGTCATACTGGAGCCCTGGAAAGATTTCCAACTCAACATGTTTT